TCGACTAGGGTGACAAATGCGTCATATAGCATATGGTGAGCTTTTCTTGGCTGGTAGCGTCAATAATCAGCTAAGCGTGCACACACGCTGAGCAATATGATTATTGCACTCTAAATGGAGATTTCAGCAACATATGAGTCACTCTGGAGGAACAATGGAGTAATTTAAAGGACAAAAGGAGCCGCTCTGCCACAGCGCTTCAGTATTGCTCCTGCTTCAGCGCAATATGTGGCGGCCAAATGTCAAAGCTGCCTCAAATCATTGCCTTTACGCTCCTCTTCTCCGAATAAAGAAAAGAAACATTAATGGATCAGTTGTCTTCTCCATGGGAAACATCAATTTTGAGGATGCAAAGGCTTGTACATGTGAGTCTGTGTGTGAGTGATCAATATGCCTCCTGAGGAGTATCTTCAAAGAGAGGGCCCATTTTAGAGATGAGTCTTCTTGGACAGACAAGAAGATAAAATAACTTTTGAATAATTTTTTTGGTTTGATTTGTATAAAAAAAATGAATTCCTTTCTATTCTGCCATTTCTACAGTTTACTGACTGAGCGTAAACCCTGTTGATATTTTACTTTTTCTTAGTGTATGCAGTGTTCTCGTCCTGCCAGGTGTTCCTGACCTGACCTTGTTTTAATCAGCCTGTTCTGACCGTGGATGTGCTATTTATGGGGAGTTGACTGACCTGTTGGATAAGCTTCATTTACACCAAAGAAATAACTTTTATGCCAGTTGAGCCTTTGATTTTAAGGGATTGCTTACTAAAACTTCAAAGTGTAAAAAGCCTGAAAGCTAATGTCTAAACTGGTGTTTTTCTGCTTCAAATTCCGACGTCTCCTCCTCTTCCAGCTCTCATCCCTCTTCCTTATCCCATCTTTTCTCTAAAGCTGCCAATCAAGACACACAAGAACTCCGTACTAAAACAAAAACACAAGTTTAATTTGGTGGAGCTATTCTAGGCAAGGTTAAGACAACATGGTGTTACAGACAGTTGTGGGGCCTCCGCTCATGATGATTCCTAGCCTCTCTGGAGGAAAAGCAGGAAAAATATTTGGATGTAGAAAGAAAAGTATGCAAAAGAAAGAATAAAACATAGTCTTATTATCTTCTTATTCTTATACAAACACAAATTGGCTGACTTACATTCCTCTTCCTCCTTTCACTTCATCTCATCCTGACAATCCAGTACAGTCTGGCATTTTCCAAAGAACATTTTGGATGTTCATTAACATCCTAAATGTTCAATTACCTACAAATATTAACCATCCTGGAAAGTACCATACAGCTGCCAAATACCCCTGAACTAGAATGGTCAATGTTTGTTAATGTTTACTGTATCCTGAGAGCATAACTAGTACCACTATGTAAAGTGAAAACTATTGAAGAACAGTAAATGTGTGGTACACTCTGCACACTGTTCTTTGTGCGCACAATAATTTGTATTCAGTGTTTTATTCACCATGAATGTACCTAAAAAACACAAAACATGCAACATAAGCTTCTCGGTAATATCTGTACAGTGCATTGCATCAAAGCATTTATGCTTGCCTTGACCCTTGACTATCCATTACATAGTGTCACTGGTTTTGTTTACAGTGTAAATACTGCACATAATGTACAGTGCAGCAGGTTTGCCCAATGCATTCAGTTCACACACTGAGGAGCACATGTAAACAGAAGGAATATGCCCCTGTAGGATAGCAAAGTCCATTTCCATTGTGTGCTGTTGTCCAGAGAGTCGCACAAATGTGTCTGTGACGCTCTTAGCCAACAAATTGATCACAGTCTGTGACCTTTGCCCTTGTTAACCCCCCGCTGCCGCAGCCGCCACCGCTTCTACAAGCCAGCAGTCAGGCTCCGAGCAGATGGGATACTTTGGGGGGAGGGTTTATTTTTACACAGTCGTGTTGTCACTCAAGCCTTCTCTTTCTACTGCCTGTGTTTCCCACTACCTCATTTTACTAAATTTTTCTCTCTCTGTCACCCTCCCTCCTGTATTTATGCCTTCTAGTCACATAATATTTATGTTTGGTGTGTTTACTGTAAATTAGATTCTGTATTCTTTAAAAAGAAAAACGAAAAAGAAAAACTTCAGGGCAAGCGGTGTTAATGTTGTCATCAATTATTTGTCCAATTACCATAACCTACATCGATCCACACCAGACGCTCTATGGTTCCCTGCACACACCCACACACACACAAACTAAACTAATAAAATCACACATTCACTCATTCATACTTGCCCGTAGACACACACATAAATCTATTCAGACCGAAACCTCATGCAAATTCCACACTGGACTGTGAGGCCACTTACCTGCCCTGACCTCAGTTTTTTGGTGGCAAACTCGTGACACATATCTCACTTTCAGCTTTGTCTTCTCCAATGAGGTCATTATTTGTCCAGTGCGGCCAGGGGATGGGCTACGAATAGGTTATTTTCTAATATTCACACTGTAAAACCCAGAATTTTAAAATAACTTAGGCATAAATGATCACAACCCAAATCCTAGCTTTTAACCACATCTGTAAACACCACTAGAGACCCTATACTGATTCCAATCTGTGACCTAGTTGGAAAAAAATGATTATTCTTTGATCATTTAAAGAGATTTTCCTTACATTTGGGGCTCAGCCAAAACATTTTTTAAAAAACTTACAATGGTAAGGGCAACTGGTGAGGCTGCTGGGCAGCTGTCAGGGCATCTGGATGCACTGAGGAACAATCATTCAACTGTAGAAGTCATTTCGCTAGAAGGCAAAAATCCAGACAGACAGATTTTATATCATGGGCTTTGTCTGTGAAAGGGATTTTTGAAGCTGTAGATGAGGTATCGAAGCTTGAGAGACTGATAAAGTGGCTGTTTTGCTGAAAGGGGTTGATAGGAGGGTTAAAAATCAATGTTCTCTTACAGTTTCTCTCTAGAAACAGGTGATGTATGTGTCATTATTTGCGATAAAGGCCAGAAAATGGCCATTTCAAATCCCTCAAAACACCACAACATACAGTAGGCCTACATACAGTGAAAAAAATGGTGGTATTTACACTCTAAACAGGTGCAAGTCTAAAAGGAAACCACCCCCACCTCTCGGTTTCTTCCATTATTGTCGGTTTTCACACCGTCTCCTATACATTACGTCACCTTCAACAGGAAATGAGATGCCACAGCTCAAGGTGTGAAGAGACTCCTTCAGTTCCTCTTATGGGCTTTAATTTCAGTCCTTTTCCTGCCGTTCACTATTCATATGGATGACGTTGTTATTTATTTTTCATGGTCCAGAGGAACAGAAACAATCTGGGCACAGACACAGACAAAACATTAAAATCCATCTGCTGTATTTTCCCATGCAATGTTATGCAATACAAGGCTCACTCAGGGCAACTCTTGCAGTTATGTGTGGGTATAGGCTACCCCTCTGTGGTATTTATGGGTATTGCAGTTCAGTTTCTGTCTTTCCACAGTTCAGGTTTTGTACACTAGATGTCAGCCTTTAGCATATGTGTGTTTGTGTGTCGAAGCATAGCACCGTTTCAATGTTTTAATGAGTTATCTGGATTGACAGACCGGATGTTGTAGCATCAATCCATGATCCAGATTTGAAGGGTTTCTGGGTTTTACTCAGCAAAGTTATCGAGATGACTCAGTAAAGGATCAAGGTCAAAGTAAATACTTGAGCAACTATCCTCATTCTACAACACAGTAAATGAACACATGAATGACAAGATGTTAAGCTGTATCAAAGGGACTATGTTTTCTCTACTGTGACATATCCTGCTCAAAAAAATGGGGATAAGGCTTACTAAAAATGTGTTTATGCAAGTTAACCGTGTTTATGTAACAGAATTAGACTTTGTGATATTGTCTAAAAGGAATGCCCAGTGATGCACAGTGTGACAAAAGCATGAAAGAACACAGACGAGAACTTAATATTCTGAGACTCTGAGTGGGTTGTATCGAGGGCGCCTGATTACTGGAACTAGATAAACACTTTTTCATCCCACATAAATATAGATAGTGCAGCCGAGAAGGAAAGAAAACATCTGTATGAACACTATCTGACATTTGTAGTGTCACATACAGTACTTTCTCATTTGTAGAAAGGAGTGTATACATTATTTTGGATATGAAACCTAATTAGTCTGATAAACTGAAGAGAAAACTGAAAAAGTACGGAATGACACATATCTAATGAATGGTGATAAAAGTACTAGACCTGAAAAAACAAGTAGATAAATTCATTTGTCAGTCGTCAGAACATTAATCTGCAACCCTTTAAAAAAAAAGTTTATTTGTTTAATTCATTTTTGATGCAGAAATGCTGAAAATTTTCTGTTTTTAGCTTCTCAGATGTGAGGATTTGTCCAGTGAGGCCAGGGAATTGGGCTTCTTGCCAAAAATCTGGTCAGAGTTTATTTTTCAAGGCAAAAATGATCAAGACCTAAATTCTAGCTTTTAGGCACATCTGTAAGTCAATGAAGACCTTATACTTATTCAAATCTATGACCTAGCTTGAAAGTGTTCGAATTCTTTGATCATTTAAAGTGACCGATAAAGCTCGTTCAGCATCTCTCATCATCTAACTTAAAGCAGCTGGGGGGGAACTAATAAAAATCCCATTGCACATACGAAAAAAAGAACATAAAACACAACCAAACCTTAACTACAAGAGACAGATTTCTATAAAGTCACTCATTAGCATCAGCAGTCCCCAGTCTCCCTGAAGTCCATACAGGTCAAAGGCCAGGCAGTTTCCAGGCGCTACTTGTCACCCCCATATAACCACTGGGATGCTAATGTCTGCCCACAGTGGAGCAAACAGTGGCCACTGTAAAAACCACCCATCACCTCTGACCCCTCTTCCCCTCAAGTTGCCCCTCTTTCCCGCTATTGATCCTTCAGATTCCTCTGACGTTGAGGGTAAGTGTGAGAATCCTCTTCCACATAAAGGCATTTGAGGAGTCATTATGGCTATGGTTCACCCAGAGTATGTGTGAAAACTCTCTATACAGACAGGGGCACTGAAACAGGTCATTAAAGTCACCTATTGCCGGTGGTTGTGTGTGCGGTTCAAAGGTTGCCCCATTTCTTTGAGACTCTCTAGGTCCATACAGAGAGGCAGGTGTAGAGTCACCAGGATACCACCAACAAATGCAGGAACTCAGCTTGGACATATAAGGAAGCTACAATCACAGGTAAGCAACATTCACAAATCAAGCTGATTGGACAATTACTTTCTTCTATATTTAGGCTCTTATTTTTTGTTAACATTGGACTTTCTCATTGTTTGGGGTCCCACAGAACCAAATGCTGTATATTTAAACATAATGATTGTAAAATCAACCTTTTTTTCCTTTTCTTACATTATTAAACCCCAGTATGTAGGAAAGTATTGAAAGCGATAACCCTTCCCGTTGACACAAACTGAGCTTGTACAGTAAGTGACAAAATACAGAAATGACTATAGAGCCTTATAATTACATCAAATTAGGATATATTTCATGTTTTGTATGGTATTTGAGATATATCTAGATGAATACACAGTATATACTCCTTTTGTTTGCCAAAACTTCATTCCAAAAATTAAATTTATGTTACATATTCGTATGTTTGGAGTCAATTAGACCCCAGAGAGGTCCAGTTATGAACACTATTATAACTATTATAAAAGTCCAACAACAGACCTCCACTGGGGGGGATAGTCCTGCGAAAATAATATAACCATGTTCTACAGCATGGGGTCTCTGACACAAACAGAAGTAATATGCAGTTTTCTGTAATGGGCTTTGAAAACATGTGATCATTTCAGTTTAAAAGCATGTTTATAAGCAATTTTCTTTTCTCATCTTAAATACCTCTTGATTTTTTTTTCATGTCTTTCAACAGATAAAATGAAAGCGCTCACACTGCTGCTCATGTTCTTCACAGTATCTGGATATACATATGTATTGCAGCCCAGTAAGTACATTAAGCCCACTTAACATTTCAATAATCCAGCAAAATGTAATTTAACAATAGTTTTGAGTTTAAAATAAAGACATAAACTCTCATAGATTATCACAGACCTGCAAACAACAGGTCATTAACACGTCCATGCAAATTATTTCATGAGCATTTCAAAGGGAATGCTAACTGTTGTAAAGCTAATATGTTACAGTGTTTACTGTGTTGTTTTGTATTAAGAACAGTATTTTATTAATACAGAGAATTTGTGAGTGATACCTAAGTGAACTATCTAAGCGGCTGTTGTCTGTTTTGTACTGTTAAACTGACAGTCACACAGATGGCTGGACTGGACAGAGACCAGCAGTCTGAGACGAAGAATGAGCAGCTGAGAGATGTTTCTATATCAGTGAAGGATAAAGAAAAGGCTGCCGAATCCACTGAGAGATGGAAAACAGAGGAGAAACAGAGGAATGAAGGGTTGACTTCAGAGACAAACCCAGAAAAGCAAGAAAAGAAAAGGATGGAGGATAAAATCACAGCAGGTTTCACTAGGAATATAGGAGAAATCTGGGATAGTAATCGAGATTATGAGGAAGGAAGTGAGGAAGGGCTGACTCCTGAGAAATCTCAAATTTTAGGAGAGGAACCAAAAAGAGAGGAATACTCCTTAGCTGACATGGTAAAAGATTATGATATAGATACAGGAGATGAAGTGGAGAGAAGAGAAGATGTGGAGACAATAAAGACAGTAAAAGCTATCCTGACAGATAACACAAAAACACTCGATAATCATAATACATGGATACAAGAGAAAGGAAAGGATGGCAAGACACTTGAGGAATTTAAGAAAAGTGAACACATGCTGCAACTGAAGCAAGAAATAGAGGAAGAGGAAAGAGAGAGCAAGCTAGTTGCAGGGATGAGTCTTCACATGGAGATGTTAACTGTAAATCAAGAAAATGTGGATGAGAAAGGAGGAAATGAGGAACGGGAGACAAGAGCAGAAGAGGGGGAGAACATAAAAAATTCAAACCATAATGAATTAGTAGAAAGAGAAAAGGAAGATCACATAGTAGTTAGCAATCTCACACCTCCTTTAAGCACATCCTCTACTCAGACGGGGGAAGAATTTGTGATTCCTGCCACAATTCAAATTATCACTCAGTCTCAAAATCCCCCTAGTCCCCCTCTTCCTGTTCATCATAATGTCCCTCCATCACTTCTTGTTACACCCACACATGTTCCTCCAGTTTCCTCTCACCCTCCCACCCCTTCTGCCAAAGTTAGTCCTCAGTTCTTCCCTCTGTCTGTCACCCGTCACGGTCCTACAACAATCAATCTCATCTCAGTCTCAACAGTGGCTCCAAGTGAGGTGAGGTCAGTCTTGCTGCTTGAAGATCTCCTTAGTGAGGTGTTACAAAGCCCTGGACATCATCTCAAGCAGAATGAACCAGAAGTAAAGGCCAGCCCAAACTTAGAGGATGTAATGGTCAAAAATATATTGTTTAAACCTGCCCAGAAGGAGCTGCACTCCACAAAAATAAATATAGTTGTTCAACCAAAAGAGGCTGAATTTATCCCCATGGTGCAAGCAGGAACGCCAAAACCCACAGAAGCAAAGTTAATAACCAAAGATTTAAAAACTAAAAAGCCATATTCTATGCCAAAATCAAATGAAAATAATCCCACTGCTAAACCGGTTCAGTTTACACGTAAACCAAACATGACACAGACCACAGGCAAACCCAAAACAGTTAAACTGATGGAAAATGACACCAAGCTTACAGTGAAGCGAAACAAAGCATCTCCTGCCCAACCACGACTGACAAAACCTTCAGCCAAAACACCGTCAACGACAGCCAGGACACCTTCAACGAGGCCAACAAAAATCAACAGAAGTAGTAAAAATAAGACAATTAAGAAGTCAAAGGAAAAGAAAAGGAAAAAGGACAATAAAACCCAAAAGAAAAAGGTCATCGTGCCAACACACTTTCCTTACTTTGAAGACAACTACTGCCCTCCTGAGTGTGCCTGCTATGGAAGGTAAAACACTGAGGATATTGAATGATATGATGATGATGATAAAACCTAATATTCTATTTTACTGAATTGATTTAAATGTAATTCCAGTACATTCATTAAGTGATGTTTTCTTCAGGATTATGGTAAAAAAAAAAAAAAAGTTATAGGCCTAACATATAAATTTGTGGGCTTTAGAGGTGCTGGTAGGTGGTATTATAGTTTTGGAAAGAGCCAGACTAGCTTTTTTCACCAGTTTACAGTCCTAATGCAAAGCTAAGCTGCTAAACAGCTGCTCTTTTTTTACTGTACAGACAGGAGAGTGGTATCAATCTTCTTCACTGAATGAAAATGATGGTTGTTTTACTTGTTATGGCACTAGTGTGTAATTGGGAGCATTGCTTTCAGGAAGGTTCGAAGATCAGTGTGTGTGTCTATTCTCATTATGTATTGTATTATTGTGTTCCAGAGTGGTACAGTGCTCCGACAAGGGTGTGGATAAGGTCCCTTACGGTATTCCCTATAATGCCCGCTACATCCTCCTCATGAATAATCAAATCAACAGTATCCAGCTGGACCTGCTCAAAGAATACATCTCTATGGAGTTCCTAGTCTTGAGCAACAATCAGCTCACGGATGGTGCCATAGAGGGGGCCTTGGAGGGGATCCCAGCTCTGAAGCGTCTCTATCTGGATAGGAACCTCTTAGAAAGTGTGCCAACTGACATTCCAGCCTCTGTCGAGGAGCTTCGTTTGGACAATAACCAGCTGAGTGTGATGTCTGAGGCAGCCTGGGCCCAGTGCCCTGGCCTCTTGGTTTTGAGTCTCAGCAACAACAGTCTGGGGAATGGATCTGACTCTCTTCCTAATGCAGTTCTCTCTCCTTTGTCCAACCTGCGCACTCTAAACCTGGATCACAACCAGTTAACATCAGTTCCTCTGGGTTTACCACTGTCCATCAAGGAGCTCTACCTCAAAGGGAACCTCATTGAGCAGTTCCGTGGAAGAGCCTTCGATGGGATATCAGAGCTGTTATTGTTGGATCTGAGTGCAAACAAACTGACAAACAAGGGTCTTCTCAAAGAGTCCCTTCTCAATGCAACCCACTTGGAAAGCCTCAACTTAGAAGGTAACAGACTTAAACAAGTGCCACGATACCTTCCCCGCTCACTTAAAACTCTAAATCTGGAAGGCAACCTCATATCTTCCATAAAGAAAGCGTCTCTCGGCACCTTGAAAAGCCTGGAACACCTCGGTTTGGCGAGGAATAAAATCGTCAAAGTGGCCCCAGGGGCATTCAGGACATTGCCTGTCCTGCACCAGTTAGACCTGTGCCACAACAACTTGCACCAGGTGCCCAGACAGCTGCCACAGGCTCTGCACTTAGTAGCACTCACCCACAACAAGATTCAGTCGGTGCCCCGTGATGCTTTCTGCTGGGGTAATAAAAGTCTCAGTGGGCTCGTAAGAGTGCAGCTGGAACACAATTTAATTGATATGGGGAAGTTGGATGCACAGGCTTTCAGATGCTTACGGGGATTCCAGGTGGTGCACTTCTATTAAACCATACATACAATCATGCTGCTACAACTACCTATGCACAGTATTTTATTTTGCAAATTATTTATGGTACTTACTCCCTCACTTTGTAAGCCTCATCCAAGACTTGTGGTGAATGCTATTGCAATGCCAGAAACCAATGGTAAAACTGACCAACAGAGTAAAAAAAAATATATTTATTGTGTGTGAAATTAAAATTATTGTTTGTAACCCACCCAAGCCTCACTCTTTGGTTATTTTTATGACATTAATTCTCTTCCCACAGACTGTTTTTCCAAATATGCCCTAATGGTTAGAGAACAATGGATTACTTTACACCTTAAAGGAATAGTCTAACCAAGTCACCAAAAGGATGTGATTGCCAAACTTAAATCTATTATCAACCTCGCTGGAGGTTTTCCAAAGCAGGACCATTTAGAATAGTTTCCAGGCAACATCGGGTTTCCATTTATTACAGTAATAATAGGTAAAACACATTTATTTTATTTCTCTAATCCATCACTGATCATACATTTGAGACATCAGATGCCGAAAAGTATTTATGTTTAATTTGACAGAAAATGAAATGAATAGTGCTTAAAATAAGTAGGCATGGATAATGTAAAAAGGGTGATGCACATTTAGTCAACTGTTTGCATCTCAACATCCCTGCCAGTACTTTCACAAAAGAATATATATGTTGATGTGATGGTTTATGTCTCTCAAGCACATTTAAGTGTCTGAAAGATGATTATCATACCACAGAGAAACTCCCTGTAAATTAAGAAATAAATGTAAAACTGGCTAAAATTGCATTCTTTGGAAAATTGCTCGCAGTTATACAAGTCGGCCACATATGTGGTGTGATTTTTACTTAATGGTTTAAATATTGTAAACTTGATGTGACTTCCTTCTATCTCATCCAGATATAACCTCTCTTGTATTTTTTAAGTTCCTAGCATGTAGACCATTTGATGTTGAGGCTTTTTTGAGCTATTAAAGACTCCAATGACTATCTCTATGTTCATATTAATTCTCCTGTGAGCTTATTGATTGTAATCACCCTTTATCCTCTATATGTGCCTTGACATCTGACAACAGACAATCATCTCACTGATGGCAAGATGATTACATTCTGTGTCAAATCTTTTCCTGAATGAACAAATGACTGCTGCAGAAAGGTTTCTTGAGTGGCCATTTGTAATCTTTGTCTTCCACAAATCAAAGCTCCCCCAAAATTTCAGCAAATCATCTGAGTGATGTACTGTATATAGAGTCCTGGACTGGTGATTCAAAATAGTAAACAGAGTAAAAATTGTAAAGTAGAAAAACATCTGCTGGATGCAAACATTAAGAAATAAGTTTACAGAAGAATGTAAAATCCAAATATTTAAGGTTGAGTAAACAAAGTGCAGAGTTTTGTGTATAAGTATAAATGTACAATACAAAGAATAAAAGAGAAATATTTATAGAATGGAAAAACAAGAAGACAACATATATAGGCCTCTTGTACACAACACAACAACTTCAGGTGGACATATGGATGTATGAATGGTCTCTCTATGGACCTTACTTCTATGTTCATGTCGATGAGCTCACTGATTAGAATCAGTATTTTATTTATAAGCTGCACCGATCATTTTTGAGGGCTTTTTGTTTTTTGAAGATGACAATATTTGTTAAAATCTTGATGCACCGAATGAAAATCGAATGAGCTAGCACCTAACTTAAATAGCTGGTTCCCTTTCGTTCTTCAAAGACAGGGAGGTGTCACCCTCAAACATTTTATATAATTTATAATAAGTTAATACTGTCAAATGTCCTTAACAACTGAGAGAGAGAGACTAGTGGTCCAGAAAGGCGTTTCAGTCAAAGAGGTGTTTATCTTTATATGGCTTCTTCGAGTATTGAAATGACAACAAAACAACTCATTAGCCCAACATATCATACGTAATTATTTACAGCAAGTTAAAATGAAACACAACTTTTATTGTTTGTTATTTGAGCTTTCCTCGGGTTGTATTTGAGTTTTGTTTTGTTGGTACTATCATCCGTGGCTGGTACTTATTGAAAGGGGAAAAACTTTGGAAATAATTAACTGGCAGCAGTAAGATGCTGCAGTTTATGGCTCCAAAGTTAGTTTTCCCATGCTCATAAATGGACACTGGTCCAAATGTTCCACTGTAGAGCATTTTCACTATTTTCCATAAACAAGTCACTGGAGGTTGTTGTTTTTATACTGTCTGTGTGTGCAGTGATGATTCCCTGGGGGATGCACATGCGAACAAGAATATCATTAACTTGTCAGTATCTGTGCAATTTCAAATGATGAAACATTATACAAATGGCGACATGATAATACACATAAGACTAAACTGTACCTGAAATGTATGTTATTAAACCCACTCAGTTAAACAACCTTTTATAAATCCAACCTGCAAGATATAATTCTGTTAAGCTTTCATGATAGAGGTATAAAGAACAACAATCAGGAATATTAAAGTATGTCATCAATATTGGTATAATTATTAGTATAATATTGTATTAATAGTGCAGCTTATATCTGTGGTAGCTCCTTATGATTCTTACAAAGCTCCCATGCAGTTAGGACTCTGTAAACATGCCAATATAAAAGAGTTAGTTGTGAAATGTACGTGTTGTTAACGAAATATCCACTAGATGGCAATAATACATAAGAAAATAGTTTTGATGAGAGCCACCTCTGTTTAAGTGTGTTAAATGAGATACAGAAAATATCGGGAGCTTGAGTTTGGCTCTTTTCCAGTTACCAAATAAGAAATTGTGGTAATTAAAATGCATATGCTTCAGGAAGTTTATCTTGTGGGGAAAAATGGTATATTTAAAGCTCACACCAGACTGGAAACTCAGCAATGCAAGCACCACACACATCTGCACACACACACATCTGCACACACAGACATGAGTCACAAGATTTTCACATAGAAGCGAAAATGTTTATAAACCTCTTTTGCAATAATGTGAAAGTATTCGGCTTGACCACACGCCTGGCAAAAATATACGTAAGAAACGATGAGTGAAGGAGAGGATTTTTCCAGCAAGAGAAAAGCAGAAAAAGGCAAAAGTGGAGAAAATGCATTAGCCCACGTGGAGGTGCTTAGCACTTTTCTCTCTTATTCCCTCTCTCTTTCACTCTAATAAGTTCACTCAGCAACGTGGCACTGCACCCATAGGGCTTGGGAAAGAAGAGCAGGAGGAGGGGGATGAGAGGGAGGAGGGAGGAGGTGGGAGTGGGAGGAAGAAGAGAGTGAAGGGGAGGAGGGAGGGCTTGAAGGATGGATCCAGGCTCCACTGGCTCAGCGCGTGTCCAGAAGGAAAGAGCTTTGGCAGGGCAGGGAGCTCACCAGCACCTCCCTACGGTCCAGCAGGACCCTGACCCCGTATCACAACACCACATGTCTACCTGGAACCACTGGAAACCCTCCTCCCCTCTTTGTGTCTCATTTTTCTCTTTCTCCTTCTCCTTCTCTCTCTTTTTGTTCCTCTTTTTTTCCTCTTGCACATTTTCTTCTTTTTGCTCAGTCTCATAAGATTGGATTGTGTGTCCATTCATGCACATCTGCATACGTGCATGTGTATATGCTACCTGTGTGCACACTTGCTTCCACGGTCATCTGGAGTGTGTGTGTGGGAGTTGCATACGTAATGATCATGTGAACTGCTCCCTTGACAGGGTCTGAACCCATGTGCTCGTTTAAGTAGTTTGGCAGATGGTGAATTTATTTGTGTACCTCCGTATCCTGTGCTGGATACAGCCTGATATTTAAGATTATCCCAGCAGGACGTTTGCAGGATTAGTAGTAGCAACGGTGCTTGCTTGCTGCCAAACTCTCTTAGGAAAGCCTGTTGTCCTTTGTCAGTGTGTATCACCCATCTGACAGAGTTACCCGAGTTGGCTCAAATTAAAGAAAAGCTTGCCTTTCTGTTTTTTACTCAGACATGACTAATAAGGCACTACGATCAGATTTAATGTTGAGCCCAAAAACACAAATCACTCATCTCTTTGGAGGGTGGTAATACTTAAATATATTTTCTTTTGTATTTCTCCAGTTGTTGCCTTTACAAGGAGTCTTGCTGTTTTATCATTGCTTTCTAAACTAACATTTAAAAGAACATTTTTTTTTTATAATACTTTGTTCATTTTTTTGGGATTTCACTGTAATGTGAAAAAACAAGTCACTCATAAACTCCTATACTATAGCTGAAAAAAAGTCCTTTTGTGATTCTTTTGTTCTAATGCTGACCACATTCAGTCAGTTCTTACAGGAATAAGACCACGCTAAGAATGAATAGGAAGACACAAGAGAATAGAAGGAACAGGATATTAAACCACACCCTGCATGTGAGCCAGACAGACGAACAGACAAGCAGACAGAGCCGTGGTACTATTCAGCTGACGTTCCTCTTCTCCCTGTTATGAATCTTGGAGGCCTCTGTCCTACGATGCATCAGGAGCTGAATAAATAACTGGAAATGTGTCCATTTTGTTTGAATTCCTCCATAATTTTTTTGGCCCATATCAATGGCTTGTAAATGCTGTGCTTCTAAGAAGCAACTGAGAGACATTTTTAACTTATATGTTAAACGTTTCACGAGCTGCAGCAAGAATTTTATAGAAAACATATAAATGGGAAGTGGATATGTTTCAATGATGGTTGTGACTGACAGCATATAATTTGTGGCTGTTCTTTTTCACATACAGTAATTGAATACAGTTGTACGAAAGGCACACACATAAAGATGCAATTTTGCTGTGTATAGGGATGTGTGCCCATCTGTGTCTCTTTTTCTTTCACACAGACACACATCTGTTTGTCTTACTGTACTGTACTGTGAAAATCTGACAACTTTCAGCCCAACCCAGACCCTAAACCCAGCTATCTCAGGCAGCTTAACCTTAAACCTTAAATCAAACGAAGGCTAATCCTAACTCTAACCTTAAGCCTGAACTCCAAAGTTAGGATTGACCACAATGACCTCATTCTCCTCTGAAACTGGAAAGGGATATGAAAGTCCTTGTGAAGGGTTAAAATGTCTGCTTCGGACTGAGAGTGCTATTGCATGTGTGAGAGGGAGGTGGCGCTTGAGTTAGCCGAGAGAAGGGGGTGAAAGGAGAAGGAAAGAGGGAGGGGAGAATGAGAGGGAGGAGGGGATAGAGAGAGAAACCATGGGAGCCAGAGGGACCTCTAGACACAT